ATTGCCGGGGACATTCAGTTATATACTACCACGCGATAGAACAAGTAATAATCACGGTCTACATATGAACTTACTGCTGGGATGAGTTGAAATGTTCTGATTCAGAGCTGCAGTTCGTGCTAATCAGAACAACGGCGATGCTGAGCGCTCAGCGCCGCACTGAGCACAAGTTCAGCTGAGCTCCAGCTGGGCTCCAGCTTCATTCCGCACGTTTCTCGTTGCAGCTGAGCTCAGAGCTGGAGATGAGATCCAGATTGTACCGTATTAACTAGCCCGCAACCGCCTGCTAAAGCCGAAAATTCGTTGCATATGACTCCACACGATTAAAGGTTTTACATGTCATCCACTGCTTCAACTAGGAGCTCTGGTGAAAGGGTGTTGTGCCGTTATGTAATTTGATAACTTGCCGATAAGAGCTTCTTACCTGGAGGGGTGTTCTAGTTTTTGTTTCATCTTCTCCAGAGTTTTGCATCACCTGTATAGTTAGTCCAGTTCCTTAACATAATCTAATAGTAAAGTATAAAACCTGCTGAGCTCTGGCTCTTCAAAAGCAGGGTTGAGAGTATCTGCTTACTATAGTGTGTATATATCTTGTTCCTAAAGTAAAATGATAAAGATTAATATTCCAGTAATTTATTAGATTTAATTGCCGTCTGAGACATGGCACATATTTGACATATAGTTACTCTGTAATTTAACATTAATATAGAATGCAGGGCATTTCACAAACCTTGCATTAATGTCACATGCAGATATTTTGAGTGTGAGATCAGATCTGTAACTTAACATTTCAGTACCTAACGGTTTCATTTTCATGGTCAGAAGGGTTTTATCCCACTGCAGTCTTTTTACTGCAGCACAAAACGAGGTTCTTTTGTGTAGAGTGCTTTTCATCCTGAAGGAATCTACAGATTGCCTGGAATTGACTATTCATCAAGCAAATGCAGCAGTAGGTGAGACACCAGCCACTCTGCACCAACATCTCCTCTACCAGCTAGAGAAGTCAGAAATTAAATGAAGGAGAAACAATAAGCTCATGTTGTCAGTCTAGCCTTGAATTTAGCCAGGACTCCAGGGTTAACACCCCTACATTTTAATCTTTATTATATTTGCTTAAACATCATCCAAATGATTGAACCTCTCACAGCAAGGGGTAAGATGGAAGAGCACCACCTATCGTACATATCTCTCCGACCCCACTTGCAGTAACAGGCTGGATTTCCAGGTTCTGTACCAGTTCTGGGTAGGCTCAGACTTGTTTAATAGGAGATCAGGCTAAAACATATTAATACTGTTTCTTTTTTTTTTCCAGACCTGCTTCTGGGTGGTAGGGAGTTCTTCTTGGACAAAGCTTAGAAACCGGAGACGAGCGCTATTGTCAGCTGAGGGGCTGGAGTACCTGTAGTTCCTATTGGTCAGTTGGTCATAAACTGATGAGCTGTTTCTATTGGTCAATAGGAGGAGGCGCCTATTCGATTCCTATTGGCCGGACGTAAGGAAGTGAGCAACCAATCATATCGTCGATTAGGTAGCCGGTGACTCTAGATGACAATCTTCATACACTTTGAATTTACTGAAAGTACAGAACTGGTAGGGTTATAGAAAGACACATTTTGTTTAAATTAAATAGAAGACAACCTTCTAACCTCTGAATCATTTTTACTTCTTCATAAAAAACCACAAACGAATTAGAGCAGAGCTCTTATAAGTGTCATGTTTGACAACGGAATCCACTTTTAAAAAATATTGTGTATATGGGCATGCAGATATATTTAAACATTTTTTTTAATGTATCTCATACGAGTTTTATTCCGACCGCTGTGGACGTTGTTTTCGATTTCGATCGGTTTCGGTTTCACTGCTGGAAGAGCCTAGAGTTGTGTGTTACGGTGACTGAGAGGTGCGGTCGCCACAGTGTAGGACTTGCTGAAGCAGGAGACTATTTCTAATGACTAACTGTTAATCACGTAATTGCAGTGAGAATAAGTAAAAAGTGCGTCATTTACAAGCTATGAAATGTTTAAAATTATATTCCGTTTTTCCATTTTACCGCTGTCTCTTTGATAACTGATAAAAAGAAAAAAAATAAAGTTGTAAACTATTGCTTAAAAAACAAAAACGTTCAAATTATATTAAAATATTTTCTGCATGTCTGATACAGTAAGTTTCCGACGTTGCTTTTAGATATGTTATGAACTACCTCGTTCAACCTCGTGACGTAGCGCCCCTTTAAAAAACACTTTTCTGGTTCTTTTTTTCACGCATCCAAATTTGCTGTGGTTGAAATACATAATTTTATAAATCTAATTCTAGTATTTTTAAATACGTGGCTTGAAAGACGGGTCGAATCCTTAAACTTCCCTTGATTTTCATATTTAAACGGACACTAAAAAAAGTCGGAAACGCATTTCTGCCATCCAAAAAAAAAGATATCTCGCAATTACAAGACGTTCATAATAATAACAACGTTCATTTTCTTGTATGGACAACTTGGTACATTGTGCAATGACAGTGCCTACATTTTTAGGTACCGATAGCTTTACTTGAACTGTGGCTTTAGTGTTGCCGTCAATATGCAACGCTGCCCAATGCGCACAGATCTGCTTTCCCCTGGGGCTTATTCAAGATGAAGTGTTACAGTTTGCACCTTGTACCAGTGTGTACCTCCCGTGAACACAGTTTTAACCATCAGGATACCAACACACATTCTCAAACAAGAACGGTGTGCCCTGGAATCGATTATACTGCTTAAAACTAATGCTAACGTGGGAATGGCATGACAATTGTGCTATCGCGTGATGATCACATACAATATGCGATAATGTACTATCCCGTTACGGGACAGCCGATTATCAAAGTGAAAGTCGCCGTACATGGTCACATGATTACCCAAGACGATACTTGAAGCGACACAAACGCATCACTAATGCAGTGGGTTTAATTAATCGTTTGTAGGGGGGCCGGCTTCACAGAGCTAGGTCCATGCGCTCAGAACCTTCTTTGTAACGCACACTTCTCTGCGGAGATGACAGGACACTGGAAATATATATTTGCTACCAAATGTGACAAAAATAAGTTAGATATTGCCTCTGATATTATTTTTTTTTACCTTATTTAGTTCCTATTCCTCTTAAGAATATTGTTTCCTCCTGTCACACTCCGGGTATAATCGTGAGGAAGTAACAAAATCACTATAACAATATTATTAGATATTCTTATATTTGAAGAACAGGGATCATTACAGTCACAGACACTGCATGTTCTTTTGCTTTGTGGTGAAACAAGCTGAAACCCTCTTAATTCTTTTAAATGACCCTCTGCGGGGGGGGGGAGCCTTTTGCATTTTCCAGCTGGTAACTCGCGTCGTTACCAGGAGAAAAAAGCCAAGTGGCCGAGACAGGGCTTCCTCTTTCTAAATTTGGCCACGTCAAAAGCGAGGGGCAGAGCAGAGCCTGTTGTATTCAAATGAGCAAAGCCCAAGCACTGTGCTTTCTCCTCGTGTCCCCCACCAAGCGCCACACAGACAATAAGCCCCAGCTCCTTCTTTAACAGGCCAGAGAGACCAGCAAGCCCCATTCCAGACTTTCTCCTGCATTTACATGTCTGGGTTCCTCATTTTGATACGGCTGGGCTTCTGCAAACCTCTCACACAAATGACCGCACAGGTCGCCCTTCAAACCAGCCTCCCCCTGATTACCAGAAAACGACCAAGAAACATCTATTGTTATACTATGTGTTTCCCTGTTTGCAAGCTATTCTTCCATGAGTTCTCCCAGTCTGGGGCTGCCCACATGCAGGCAGCCTGCGATGGAAGTGCAGTCTGTGATGGGATAGGGACGGGTCTGGAGGGGGCGTTGTTTCATGTCCTGGTCTGTAGGGGGAGCCGCAGGGCCAGCTCCGAGAAGTGGGCCATGTCCGGCTGGCGGCTCTGCTGTTTGATGAACTCCAGCGTGCGCACCTGTGAGGAATAAAGAACAGGCCGATTCGCACGCGTCTGGGAAGAACACAAGGAAATTTTATGACAAGAACAGGCCACTCAGCGCATCACAACTCTCCCATGACTCTAGTGGGCAGGTGAAAGACTCCAGCCATTCCAAAACAATTTCAAAGCGTGGATACTGGGAGGATCCCAGCACGTTAGACACCATGTAGTGGCCAAGCTGATTAATTCATACATGAGCTATTCTCCGATTTCCCAAACTTGTCTTCTCATTCTGGAACATCGGCACCAACTTGCAGTTGGCACCAACTCAATTTCAGTCACGTAACATTTCACGAAACTGTTTTTCTGGTTTTGTCAGGGTATTTTGCTCTATTTATCAAACACGTTCTGTCATGAAGTAGAAGTGATGTGAACTAAAAGTGGAAGATTATATGATTTGTCAGTTTTCACTGTGCTGGAGTAGAGCTGGGAGTAATAGATTAAATAAGAGATGGTTGGATCCCAAAACCACAGCAGCAGTTTCTGTGTTTTCATCTACAGTATATTTCTTCAAGTGGTGCATCTATGAAGCAGTGATATAGCCTCCTGGAGGTCTGAATGGTCTTTCATTTAATCTATGCTAAATAACTGCTTAAACATAATTCATTTTTTCATCCAGTCGCTCTATAAAACGTGCAGGAGATTGGCTCTGTAGTAAAAGGAGAACACTGCACTCCTGTGTGCATGAGTGCATGCGCAAGCGTGTGTGGGCGTGAGCGTGTAAGCATGAGTGCGTTTGCACAACTGTGTGCATGTGTGAGCCCATGTAACTGTGTGCACGTGTGCAAGTGTGAGCGCATGTAACTGTGTGCACGTGTGCAAGCGAGCGTGTGTGAGCGTGTGTAACTGTGCAAGTGTGAGCATGTGTAACTGTGTGCATGTGAGCGTGTGTAG